ATTTCACTCTTTTCGGCAGCAGAGAGATCCTTTTTCTTCCCCATATTGCTTGAAAATGGTGAACTGCTTAATAATGTGGAACACCCTCCTTTAGTAGTTTTTCCTTAAATTGGGCACACCAGCCAATCTAATTATCACAGGTGTCTGAGATTGTTTTCAGTGATCAAAAGAACCCTGACACACAATGCCATCCATGAGTTAAACTGAAAAACAAAATATTTAATCTTTGTGACACTTAAATAAAATTTTCAAAATAATTTGGAACAGGGTGTACATACTGAGATGTATCGACTATACCATTATGTATTTTTCCCCCCCTTTCCTCCTTGTTTCCTTTTGATTTTCACACAGACAAACTGTTGGGATATCATTTCCATCCATCGTGATATACTCATATACCCTCTTTCTTCCAGTCCCCCCCCCCTCTCCATCCATATACACACACTCCTTCGGTGCTGTACATGCTTCAGCCCACATGACACTGTCATCTCACAGATTCTCGTGTGTGCGCAGTATAGGCAGACGGCACACATCTCACTCCGGCCCATTCACGTGTTCGCGCATGCGCTTTTGGCGCTCTGAGTGTCCCTGTCACTCTGGGTGCGCACACGCAGCAGTTCATGGCGGCTCTCCACACACCCACCCCTCCTTCATTCGCGCTTGCGCACAGCCACCTACTGGGGCATATACTTCCTCTTTCGGTCCCCGTGGAACGCACAGGGACCAGATATACCATTACAGATGCTATGAGCCGTCTCCCGCCGGAGCTCACCGGGTAGCTCCATACATCCCGCCTTTTCAGCCATGTTCACTATTCCATGCACGTATTCATTCCCTCCCTCCTTCACATTCTCCTCCTCCTTCCTGATGTTTCTGCCCTTTGGGAGTGTACCCCCTTCTATTATCATAAGATTCTAGCCTATTTAAGAGAGGTCTCAGGTTGTGCACACACACACACATTGGCTCTGAAGAAGAGGTGCTTCCTCGAAACATGTCAGCCAACAGCTATCCAGAGGCTTCCAGTCTCCCACCAGACCACCCACAGGGGTTCCTGTACCATACTGCATATCTCATGTGACATGCTTCCCGTGTTTATCTGATTTTACATCATTTTAATCTTGTGAGTATTTACTTTTTATCAATAAATCCTATTTTTAAGGTAATGCACTAGGCCTGTGCTCCCTCTTTTTTGTCTTTCACATACAGTTTCTTTTGGATATCCCTGGTCCGTTGAGGGCAGCAAGGCCTGCATTTCTTTTCCCATGTGGGGATCACAATAGCGGGGAATCCACAGTTCAGCGCAGGAGTACATGCATTCGGTTGCTACATTCTTCTTATATAATGTGAAAGGGCTGAATTCTCCAACTAAAAGACATAGGGTATTGAGGAAAATACAACGTCACTCTGTAGACGTCGCCTTACAGGAAACACAATTAACGCATGACTCAAATTACGCAGATTCACTGATGAGGGCCCAGGGAGTCGCAATTGGATTTGCAAAAGATATAGGCTTCAAGGTGGAAGAAACATTGGTCGACCCAGAAGGTCGGTATTTAGGTCTTGGGGGGGTCCTGCAGGGGAAAGAATATACATTGGTTAATGTCTACTTCCCAAACAGGAAGCCTGAAATATTTCTCCAGGATGCCCTTGGAAAGATAATGAGCTTTAAAAAAGGCTTTCTAGTGATGGCAGGGGATTTTAATCTATGTTTAGATCCCTGGTTGATTGCATCTTCAGGTGCGCAGAGATGAGAGTAGAGTTTTAAGAACGCTAAAAAAAAAGGTTAAATCAAAATCAATTAATAGATATTTGGAGAGTGAATCATCCTAGGGAAAGAGATTACACTTTCTTCTCAGCAGCACAGAGATCGTACTCGCGTCTGGACTATATTTTAATTGAGCATAGACATCTAGACTCATTGATTGGAGCTGATATCAAGGTTATGTCCATTTCAGACCATGCACCGGTAACAGCTAGTGTATGAGTAGGGGGAGCTCAGAATAAGAGGGCTACGTGGAGATTAAATGAGTCACTTATACAAGATATAGACATAGAGAGAAGGATAAGGGAGGAATCTGAACAATTTTTTACCTTGAACGAAACGGAGGAAATATCAATAGCCACTATCTGGGAGGCTCATAAAGCAGGTATCAGGGGAGTATTGATAGCCCAAGAGATTAAAAAAAAAGAAAGAACGGGAGAAATAAATGAAGGAGGTGCTGGAAGGACTGGATAATTTAGAACAGATCCATAAAAAGAAGCAGGAGCCAGACATTTATCAGAAGATTATTCACAAGCAAGAATAATTAAAAGATCTAATGGCATACGAGACTACGTTTTTAACAGTGTCTCAAAAGAAAGATATAGGTGGGGGAACAGGCCAGGGAAATACTTGATGAAAAAGGTTAAAAGATAAGAAATCTAAAAATTATATAGAAAAAATGTAAAATGAGAAAGGAGAGCTGGTTTACTCCACCACAGATATCGCTAATATGTTTCAAAAGTTTTACAGTAAGCTTTATGAAGTGAATCCAAAAAAAAGAAAGGAGTGGAAGAAGAGAGGATAAGGAGGAGTGTTGAATTTCTCAAACAGGCACATTTACCAAGACTCTAAGCAGAGAAACTGGCAGCCCTGGATCGAGTAATATCTCAGAAGGAACTTAATATTGCACTGAAGAACACGGTGGGAGGAAAGAGTCTGGGCCCTGAAGGGTTTACGGTGGGATAATATAAAAAAATTAAAGAAATATTAGTACCTAAATTATGTAAGTATATGAATGCATTAGGGGAGGGAATGGAAATGAGAGAGGAATCATTGCATGCATATATAACAGTCATTATTAAGGAAGGAAAGGACAGCGCACAATGTGCTAGTTATAGACCGATATCATTATTAAATATTGAAACAAAGCTATGTGAGAAGGTCTTGGTCACGAGGATGAAGGAATTAATGCCGGAGTGGATACATTTTGACCAAGTAGGTTTTGTTCCAAGAAGAGAGGGAAGAGACAATGGTCTAAGAGCCCTATTACTTTTACAGAAAGCAAGGAGGAGGGAACAGCCGACAATTTTACTAGATGCTGAGAAAGCCTTTGATAGGGTGGATTGGAGTTTTATGTTTAGTACGCTGGAGGCCTTTAGGAATAGGAAATAAAATAATAGGGTGGATAAGAGAGCTGTACAATGGACCCTCTGCATCGATCAAAGTAAATGGGTCCCTTTCACATGTATAATGGTACGAGGCAGGGGTGTCCATTTTGTCCCTTATTGTTCGTATTATCCTTGGAACCATTATTAGCTACGGTTAGAAAGAACATAGATATTAGAGGAATTTGTATAGGAGAAGTAGAGCATAAGGTGGCAGCGTACGCGGATGATACGTTGTTTTATATTGTTAATCCAAGAGTGACATTGCCAAATTAAATGGGATTGTTGAAATATTACGGGATGTTGACAAACCTGAAAATAAATTTATTCAAATCTGAGATCTTAAATATTAATGTAGCAAAATCTGAGATGCTGACCCTGCAAAAAAGAATTTCCTTTTGTTTGGAGGGAGAGAGAATTAAGTTATTTAGGAATAAAATTAACTCCTTCATTAAAAAATGTATATCAAGCTAATTATATACCATTAATGAATTAAATCAAAGATGAGTTGAGAAGGCTCTCAATAGAAGGGGTCTTGTGGCTTGGGCGCATCAATTTGGTAAAGATGGTGGTGGTCCCAAAAATCCTGTACAAATTTCAAATGATCATGATACATTTGCCAGGACCCCTTTTTAGGATAATAAGAAAAATGATATTGAGCTTTATTTGGGCTAACAAGAAAGTAAGAATTGGATATAAAGATGCTTTGCAAAAACAAGGAGAGGGGAGGACTGAATCTGCCAGATGTGAGGAAGTATTATATGTCGGTACTCCTGTCAAGGGTGGTGGACTGGACATATAGTGCGAAAGAAAAAAGTTGGGTAAAAATGGAGGAAAAACTAAAGTATGGCACAGTTGGGGAAGATTATTTGGATTCCACGTAAATTCCGTGTGTTGGGGGTATAATGGGAGTGCTTTGACAAGGGAGGTATTGAGAGTCTGGGATGGGTTACACAAACCTATTGGTTGGGAGTTTAATTCACTTATGATTCCCCTGGTGGGGACTGTTTTTTTTTCCACCAGGGAATGACAAAATAGCAGGGAAACGGTTTAAAGATAGAGATGCACGTTTGGGGGATATTTTAGTTGAAGGGAAGTTGTCTAATGTTGAAGAATCGAGGGAGAGGAAAGATTTATTTTTTGTATTGGATGAGTTTAGATATCAATAAGGATATTTCGTTTCAACACTTCCCCGCCCTCTGAGGGTGGCGGAGGATATGTTTCCATTTGAGAAAATGCTGAGCCAGGATACAGCTATATAAGATCCTCAGCGAGTTGATGAAAGCGGACCCTCCGAGATTCTTAGAGAGATGGGAAAGAGAATTGGGCACAAAGATGGATGAGCAACAGAAGGATAAAGTGTTCAAACTGGTGCACGTGGTTGTAAATTTGAGCACGGTGGAAATGAAATATAAATGTTTGACAAGATGGTATTGTACACCGAATATTGCACAGAAATTAAGTGAAGACGTTTCATCACTTTGTTGGAGGGGTTGTGGAGAAAGAGGGACTATGTTGCATATTTGGTGGGAGTGTAAAAAGATCCAGACATATTGGCAGGATGTAATTGTTTATATACAGGAGATTTTGGGAGTGAGTATCCAAAAAGATCCATGGGTATGTTTATTTTATAGTCCAGAGGTTTCAGTGAAAAAGTTTATATAAAGTAAAATTCTCCAGCAGGACTGTAATATATCAGAACTGTAGATAATCAGTAGTACCATCTGTCTCTTCTAAATTCTGAAAAATGAAAAGGCGTATGGCCAAAGTTCCCTTTCATTTTCACAATACTAACAGATATAATAGGTTTATGATGGGTATATTAAGTACACAAGAAACACAATTTGAAGCACCTGCTTAGAAGCATTGTTCTCTTCAGCAAAACTCTCCGGCTCTGTAATAATCTGAATTAATTCTTGGACTTTCTGCAGAGCATCATCATTCGCAAATTCTTCATCCACCAGCCGATTCTCTTCATAGTAAGTGATGTCTAATATAGCCTGCAGGAGAAGAGTTATGTTATATTGGGGGAGGTGTGCAAGATAGGTTCTATGATTATTACTGGGAAAATGTCTGAATGAGGACACAGTGAAATAAAACACAGGTCAACCATGTGTATTGGAAACGTTTCTACAAACCTTACTGTAGATTCCTACCAACGTCTACACAGCCCTTGCTAAGATTGGCGGCAGAATAAGGAGCTTGAAAGCTGGTTCTGACTTATGCCAACAACCAATAAATAAAAGCAGGAGGTCCTTGTAGGTGGCTGGGGCATTGCTAGGGACATAACTACCTTCTGAGGTTGGACAATGGATATCTTTTGAGGTTGGGCCAGGACCATGGCTGCCTTTTTGAGATTAGGCCATAACTGCCTTTTAAAGACTGAGCCAGAGCTACTTTTTTGAGCTTGGGCCAAGGCTGCCTTTGGAGCTGCTCCCCTCATAAGAAAAAAAAAAAGACTGTAGCTTGAATTACTTCATTAACAATGAAATAGTAGTATTCAGTACCCGCTAACAGTTGCAACCCAAAGTTGAAAAGTAAAATTGTTCTAAAACACAATCGAATCGAGCTCTGGGCACACAGAATTCAAGTAACATATCACACATAGATATATAAGAACACTGAGACCTCAGAAATTTAGGAGTGCCAGTATTTTTGGCCATGACTGTACAAAGTCTAAAACTGCTGTCAGATAATGCACCACTTCGCCAGGAAAATTGTTGCAATTACAAATGTTTAGGCATTCTTATGTTTATTTATTTTGTCTGTATTGGTATGACACAAAAGAATGGAGAAACAATAAGCCAAGTCAAAAAGAAATAAACATGAGAATGCCTAAACATTTGTAATTGCAACAATTTTCTAGGTGAAGTGGTACATTATCTGACAGAAATACAGGGGTGCCAATATTTTTGGCTAGGACGGTATAACATTGTAATAGAGATGCTGGGTGCAATAACTAAAAACAAGTCATATACACACACACAATCAACAGTAGACATGCAGGTACCTTTTAATCAGCATTTAAACCATTACATGTTCTACGCATGTGAAAGGCCAACTACTAAATAAATACCTGCCTGACACATCATAGCATTCACCCGGCACTCCAAGAAATAACAGAATCCAACTGCAATATTCTTGCACTGTCAAAACCTCCACTTTTATCATCACACAACACACAGGAGGATATATCTTATAGTCATCACAATCTGCATAATAACACACACCAGTAAGAGTGTGAGAATTACAGCATGAAATAAAAACATCATGGGACAGCGTCACAGCATAGAATTAAGCGGAGTTCCACCCAAAAGGGGAAAGTTCCACTTTAAAGATTGGTCCCCCACTCCCCATTAAGGATTGGCACCTGTGGGGAGAAGAGGGAATGGGTACCCGAAATTAACAGGTACTCACTCCCACTTCCGCTACAATCACCTAGGCGATCGGAAACGGAAGTTGTCCTCCTACCCTCCCTCCCCGAAATCTTGTGGGACACGTGACAGATCCCAGAAGACGACGGGGCCATTCAGGAAGCGCAGCGCTACTCACGCATGTGCAGTGGGCACCCAGCTGTGAAGCCGCAAGCTGTCACAGTCGGATGCCCACACTGAAGATGCCGGCCTCCTGGAATACAAGACGGCTGGTGAAACGGGCTGCGGCGGAGGCAACGTGGGATTGTGGAACAGGTGAGTGGCTGTTTTTTAAAAGTAAGCAGCTACAGTTTTTGTAGCTGCTGACTTATTTTTTTACAGAGTGAGTGGAACTCCGCTTTAATACATTACCAAAGCTATGTGGAAGCTGGGAGGAACAAATCCCATCGGAACCAAACTGCCCAGGGGGTCACGGGGAAGCCGTAGGCGCGGCCAGTCGATGAGCCCATATAGCCTTGGCAACAATCCCAGCATCAGAGCATCCTCTGGCCACTTGGGGGGGGGGGCTTCTACTGGTCCAGCCCGGACTTCCGCATTATAAACCTATTTTCTGGAAGCTGTCCAATAGTGGGCGGCTCCACACCCCACCACAGGAGGAGCAAGCAGAAGGGTTCCGTGAAGATAACAGAGTCACGTTCAACCACCATATTCGTTATCTGAAAAGTCACACTTTTGCTTCTTATCTACCCCAAAACCTCTTCTCATCTCCCCCAGACTTAAGGATTTCTAACGTAGATGTCCTTAAACAGGTTTTTATCTCCTAATGTGAGGTTACTAGATGTCAAACAGGTTTCAGTCCATAAACAAGTTATCTTGCTCTCAGCAGAATATCTTGTGACTTTGTTCCTTTGACCTAGAGAAAGTGACACATCAGTCACCTCTCATGCCCCTGGCATTTAGGCAACAATGCTTTATTGTGAAAATTATCCAAGAAACAAAGGGTCCAAGGCCAACACATTTCATAGACATTATAAACATGCTAAAGTTAAAAGCAATCTGTATATACTACGAAAAATGTATTAACCCCTACTGTGCACATGGAGAGAAAACACACACACAGAATAGTTGCAAGAAAGATCTCTCATCTATTGAGAATGTTACAACGGCTTTAGTACAGCTTAGAAATAGATATTAGATCACTTAACAATGCACTTCTATGTCTTAGTAGGTGGTCAAGGTCACAGCTGACTTTGGGCCTAGGAATAATGTTATCACAGTTTTTCTCAAGAGAACGCAGCTGCAAAAAAGAATCTTTCAAGAAGAACCCTGTGGGTATAACAAATAAAATAAAGTCTCTAAAACACAGCTCTGAGCAAGGCCAACTTGCTCAAACACTATATGTCAAAACAAAAATGAGTTTTGCCAAGCGCCAGCCACAAAATGAAGATGTATTGTTGTAATTGAACTGGAATACTCTCATACAACATCTCCCATTTGTCATGTGTACTAGTAGGGCAAAGATGCACAACTCCGCATGCGGCTTAATAAATCTGGAGCTGGAAATACACTATAAAGCCCAACTACAGGATGAATTTAAACTCTTTAAAATAATTTAAATGTAAAGCATTGACAATTCTCTGAGTCTTCTCTGTTGCAATGCATATTTTAAGCATATTGTACAATCCATGTGAAGGATTCAGTATGACAAATTATACAGCATTTCTGTTACTATCAGAAAAGAAGATGCACTAGAACACAGCATCCAATAGGGGAAAAAAAATCAGCTACCGTTTTTACTTGCAGGTGCTCTGAAACAACAGGCTCTACCACTACATGGAATCATCCTCCATGAAAAAAAGCTTTTTGGATTGCCCACAATGAAATAATTTACCTACAATAAAGCTTATGCTAGGGCCGCTTTGCTCCTGGTTACTCTAGTACTGACAGTTTCATTCAAGCCAGATATTACAGGTGGCACTCTTCTTCTGGCACTGCAACTGATAGTTCTGGCTCTGGTACAGTGCAGGAAACACATTTGTCACTCCATCCATTCACAAAAAGCCTTGTATTTAACAGAATGCAAAGTTGTTTGTGAATGGACAAGGGCAGAGGAAGGAAAGAGTGAAAGTCATGATACCCGCACTATTGCAGACATGAAATTGCAGCACCAGAGAAGAGCACTGACTGTAATATCCGGCATGAATGAAACTGCCATTTCTACAGTAACCAGCAGCAATGAGGTCCTGGCATTTACTTAACTGCAAGTAACTTAAGTCACTTGTGGACTTTCTAAAAATGAGTTCTTTTATCCAAGTGTTCCATTTTAAGGCCTCGTTCACACCATGGTGCAGAGACGTGAGTTTTTCTGCACGCGTTTTGCATGGGCAAAAAAACAAAACAAAAACAATTGTTTCACACCACAACATTAGCGTCACGTGCAGATTTATTTCTGCACAGGAATCTGCAACATGTATAAAACTCACTAAAACGCGCATGAAAACTGATGTCTCTACAAGTGAAATCACAGCGTCAGTTTCCATCAGTTTTTTGCACGTATGGTATGAATGAGGCCTAAAATCGATTTTATTGAAAATGTATTCATGTACAATTATAATGATTAATCCCACAGACAAAATTGTGATAATACTTCACCTGACTATAAAGCCGCAAACATGGTGATCTATTACAGTTCTGGTTGTCTTTGGAACATGTGTCCTTCAAGCTCTGTAGTGTTGCAGATGCCTTTAATAACAGTGGATCTGTTGAACAAAGAAAAACAGGGTGTAATGTGGAAAGTCAGCCCAAACCTGTTTATTTTGTTTTAGTTTTGGGGTTTAGTTAGACATCTTTCAGGTTATTAGTGCTGATTGTGCCCCCACTGGCTACATTTTCCCTCATTTCTTGACCACCAGACCTGGGAAAGGAAGTGAAGAGTAATCTCTGTAACAGGGACGCAAAAAAAAAAAAAACACCTGAACACCTGGCAGAGTTTCTGTAAAGGATTTTATTTATTTTAAAGTGAAATGAAGCAAGGTATTATATGATATGAGTACATGTACTGTATGTCTTCATTCAAAGTGGTTTGGGCTGGTGTTCTGCTTTATGGTATATACCGAAAAGATAAATACCAAAAAACACCCACACTCTTATCTATGTATTTCAGGTACTTATATAGTACGGTCAATTTACACAGCATACATATTTATTACTCATGGATATCAGTCCCTCCCCTAATAGGCTACAATCTAAGGTCCCTAACTCACATTCATACATAAACATACTAGGGCCAAATTAAGTAGGAGCCAAGTAACCTACCATATTTATTGCTAGTTCTGCTTTAAAGTGCATTCTCTGCATTAAGGCAAAAAAATCTTGCCCAAGAACAGAGAGGCAGCAATGGCAATCACTGGGGGGGGGTTCAGGTCTGCTCTGTGCAAAACCATTGCACAGAGCAGGCAAGTATGATATGTTTATTATTTTTATACATGTTTATTAACTAAATTATTTATTTTTTTAAAAAAAGCTCTAGAATCACTTTTACGGAAAAAATGATATCCTTCTAAAGTGCAACTCCACTTTCTCCTTGCTGAGCGCTGAATCTGTCAGCCTTCCTGTTATAGTCATTTGATCAGTGACAGCTGTAATAAAAGAAGTCG